CTCAGGTAAGCTAGTTGAGCAAGCATATGTGCGTCAATTTCTGATTGCAATTTAATTCCGAATGTGTTATTCAAAACGGGATTAATGTTGAGAATACCTTCAGAATCTTGCTGTGGCTGGAGTCCACAAAGGTTATCTTCTTGTTCCAATGTTCCCTTCCTCATGCTGTTGCTATTTGTCCCAAGTAGTCGACCACTGCGTTCAGCCTTAAAGGTTTCAGACATTTCAGAATTTCCCTCTGAGAAATTATTGTCATCTACATCAAGGCTTTCTTGACTAGAGAATGCATCACTCTGATTACGTAGTAAGTCTATCAGATCATTCCCTTCAACCGTTTTACAGTCCTCGTTCAGGTCTATAGTGAAGTCAACATCGAGTCCCAATTCTTCATTTCGTGGACTCTCGCTCTCTTGAAGCGTTTTATCGTCATCAGATGTCGCTTCGTGACTGTTGAGTAACCCTATAAGATCATTGTTTTGGATCGCCTCACTGTCCTTGCTCAGATCTATAGTAAAGTCAACATCGAGTCCCATTCCTCCACTTCGGGCTCTCTCGTTCATATCATAAGGCATCTCTTCCGCTTTTACACGATCCCCGGACCGAAAATCGTCAGAATCGTTCCGTATCCTCTTTGTCCCATGATCAAAACCTAAAGCAATCTTATCACCAAGAACATCACAGTTATCGTCATTCAGTTCAGAACCATCCTTATTTATTCCAGCATCAGCAATGTTTGAGTCTATCAAATAATTATCCACATTCGCTTCTGGTTTATCAACTTTCTTACCAAGATCACCCAAATCGACGTCAACCTCATTTATGCCCAAATCGTCTAAATTTACCACATTATCAACATCTACCCCTATATCACCTTCACTTATGCTATCATTATCCCCATTTATCATATTACTTTCAACAGCTATATTTATATCATCTTGATTTATCACATCATCGTCATCCAAATTTATACCAAAATTATCAACATCTACCCCTATACTGCCCTCACTCAAGCTGTCATTATCCACATTTACCCTATCATTATCAACACCTACCCTATGATCACCCCCGCTCACTTGCGCACTATCCAGACTAACCCTATTATAGTCATCCTGATTAGCTCTATCGTGATCGTTAATCATTAAATCATCAATAAGCTGATTCATCAAATCAATATCAGCATTATCATCTAACATGGTGGGAGGACTGCCATCCATTCCCGATGGCGGAACGTTTGGCCCAAATTCTTGGTCTCGTTCTTCAGATGATTCTCCTTCCGTTTCTAATGTTCTATCTTGTAAAATGTTGATCAATTCCTCCTCGATTTCGTTTCTACTCTCATTGTCTGAATTGAAATTACTGACAACAATCTGACTTAGGTCGTTCACGTCACTTTCAATTCTGATAGTTTCATCAACGGTCCTTTCTGGGGAATCTTTCGATGCCCGAAATGTCGTTGTATGAGTATTTTGATCAACAGATTTCATATGTGTTGGCAAGATATCTTTTTGTTTTAATGCTTCAAAATACGAAGATTGTTTTTGTTTGGCTCCATCATGCACGTGCCGCGAATGCTCAATTCCTCGTTCTTTTTCTTGCATTTTGTGTTGCGACTTTTCTTCGTGTCCAGGCAAATTTCTGCGCTCTATTTCATGCTGTTGTTCTCGCTGTTCGTTTTCCAGACTAGTTCGTTCGTTCTGTAGTGCAGGAATTTCGTGTTGTGGTGAAGGTATTTCGTGCCGTGGTGCAGGAGGGAAATTCGTGTCGTGTTCTGTGTCACATATATCGTGCTGTACATCAAGCACGGCATGCTCGAGTATCTTGTGCGGTGATGCAGGCATTTCATGCCGCTGTGACCCGTTTATACCGTTGATTTGAGGTATTCCGTGTTGTAGTTGCTCTGTTTCGTTCTGAAGGTGATTGGGAATCTTTGGTTGTTGGCGAACGTGTGGTTGGGAATCTTTGCGTAAGGGATTATCGCCAATCTTGCCCATAATATTATTCTCAGTATTTCCAAATTGAAGAGTTTCGTTACTCCCTTCAACATTCAAATTTCCACTAACCATTGACAAGCTCTCTCCTTTTAATTCCAATTTCCCTTTTTCCCATTCGTTAATTCTTTTTTCCTCTTCTATCAATTTTTCTCGTTCCATTCTCAACTGTTGTTTCTGTTGTCGAAACATTTCTTCCAGTTTCGCCTGTTCTTCCTGCAAACTGTCTTTCAGCTCGTCTTGTGATTGCAAACCGCTGGACGACTGACTGCATAACAACATTAATTCTTCCTCTTCTACGTCATCATCAAACTCGTCACTAGATCCCTGCTCGGAATCAAACCCGTCACCATTCTCCTGGAGTAGTACACGGTCTTCTGTATGTGATAAATTCGTAAAATCACCAGAGACCTCCTTCGAATCCCGTGGCTCTCGAATGTCCTGCTTAATAATATGTCCAGTTACCCCTAATGAATCCTCGTTATCAAGTACCATCTCCTTTTCAACACCACCATTCACCCCAGTTATCCCTAAAGACCTCTCATGATCTAGCATCATCCCCTTTGTCTCATCCGAATTCGAAATTTGTTCAACACCAACATCATTCTTGACAAACTTCCGAAATGCTCCCTCACCATTGAGAATCTGACCCCCACTTGTGCCCAAACCAAATGATGAATTAAACGATGACGCAATATTGCAATTTATGGCATCATTGTTTAACGGAAGTGACGCAAGGCTAGTGTCTGATTTGCTTAACTTGGCAACATTCTGCCTAGCTCGACAAAGTTGTATTTGAGCATTGAAATACGTTTCTTCTATTTCATTTCTTGTCGCGATAGCATCGATCACTTGCGCAAGCCGCACGCGTTGTTCATTCTTGATACGCGTCCAGTGGTCAATCGCTTCTCTGGCATTCTTTAAGAGCACTTCACGTGATTTATCATCACGTGATATATTTTCGTCATCACGCGATTTATTTTCGCGGTCACGTGAAAAATTTTCAAAATCACGTGAACTACTTTTTGGATAATCTGAACGATTTTCGAGACCATATGAACTTTCTTTGTGATCACGTGAACTATTTTCAGGGTAACTGGTAGAAGTTTGAAAATCTTTCGAATGTGATTCATTTGATACTCCAAAGACGCTTTCATTCAAGAACACGCTAACATTATTACTTGACAAAACGGGATTGGTAGAAATTTGAGTGGACAGATTATCTATATGCCTTTTGTCTTGATTGCGATATGTTCCAAATGCTGTAATGGAATTATTTTGTGCTAAAGGATTTCCAAGTTCGCATAATCGTTTCAGACTACTGCATCCATCCAACAAATCAATATGAGACGGTGGATTTCTATTACCATGCTTTTCTGATCTTAAACCTTTAACCAAATATCCACTGTCAAAACAACCTGTGTTGTGGGAATCCTTTGGAAGTAAACCTATCGTAGCTTTCTTTTTGTCAGCGTTTCTATTGGCAGTTTCTTTTGTACGACCAGCAGAAGGTTTGAACAAACTGTTCATTTTTTCAGTTTCGCTACTTCTGTTTAGCGTCGAAGTTAAATTCATTAAACTTGACCCTCCATTCCATAAATTCGTCGCTCCTTGCATTTCATTTCTTGATTGTGGCACTTTGTCTTGTTTTGAAATGTTGCCTTTTTCAAAAGCTTTTCCATTTTGATGTTCTAAACTTCTATCCAGACTTGAACCAAGATTGATGTCTTCTTGTTCCGAACTAAAGTTTCCCTCCCCGCCTTTTTCAGCTACCTCTCTGAGTTCCTCCTCAAGTATCAGCTGTTCGTACAATAATTCCTGATCTCGTAGCCTTCGTCGGATATCAGCCAAGCGGGAATTCCCGTCCCCAGTCCCCACATCTGTAGCCTTGGACCTGGTGACGTCATCATTCGATATAGTGGTCGAGCTCATGACATCATCGTGCCAGCGTTTACTTGATACATCTGTGGATGAAATTGTTGAGCGTAAATGTACCCGACGTTTTGGCAATGAATTCCCATGATGAGATGACTCTTGATCTGAGCTGTAAATAAAAGAAGATACTTCAAGCCCGATCAAATAAAACGAGAAAAAGAGCTCGCGAGAGTTGATGAGGATCAGGTACGGATCTAGCCTCATCTGCAAGGAGAAGTGCAGATTTTCCATGGGGTGGTAAATGAGGGAGCCTTACTGCCCACTCTTTTCTACAGTCTGCAACGCTAATATCCCAACATTACCATTATTTGAGATGTTCCGCAGTTGTGTTACGTTTTACATTTATCTCTTAGTTTATAAAGTTTATATCGGCTTTTTACCACGTATGCGTGACGCCGTGACTGGACAGTTGCTGCAGCACAGTACAGTAAATTTGCTTGTTAAAGTACAGTATATTTGAAAACATGGCTGTTTGATCAGTTTACATACTTAACCAATATATTTAACTAAACCACTCTGAGTATTTACACGTGCTCAACTCTCATCAACTCTCATGCAAACTCTCGCTTCTCAACTATCATCAACTCTGATACAAACTCTCGCTTCTCAACGCTCATGAACTTGTGAAAGCCCGTTGTAACCAATTTCATTGCACTTTGCTTTTGGTGAACTGCTTTTTGTATTTTCACACTCGTTTCAATAATTCATACGTCATACCTCAATTCTTCGCCGCTGACATCACCACGATGCATTTCGTGGGCTCGTAAGATTCTTTCCAGTTCTTGACAACGGTTCCCTAGCAACCGAGCACGGTTGCGTAACTCGAGGTCATCAATATTGTCCACATAGTCCAGCAAGGGTTCCAATTCTTTACAGGTCAGTGGCGGATGCCTTTCCAAGAAGACCTCAAATTTATTCTTCGAATCAGTTAACCTTGACGGCGAGAAATGAACGTTTTCTTGTGTCGTACTGGGGATTTGATTTGCAGGCCAGAGATCACTGGCCTTTTCACACCAACTTTCAGCCTGAAATTAAAAATTTAAGATAACACATTAGAATTGGTTTAGTTCAGTTCAGTTTAATTCATATTATTATACATTGTAGTCAGTACATGTCTTCTGATTCCGAATATCAGAAAAAACAACATAAACGAACGGCATTTTTGTGAATTTTGTTGTGCAAAAAGCAGCCCTTTTTATTGGAACTTTAGTAGCTAGAAAAATGAGATTTCCAATATTTTTATGCTGTTACTATGATATTTTAATATTTTTATGCTGTTATGGTGAATTCGGTTTTCGTGACATCCGAATTATCAAGGTCTCAGTAAGTGTTACCAATCTTACCTTCTGCTCGACTGATAACACTTACCTCGATCTTAATAATTCTGTCATATGACAAAAACCTTATCCAATAACTGCTTGTCCGTTCTACAGGGTGTATAAAAAAACTGAACAGATTTGAAATTGCTCTCAATTTCGCAAAACACCTATTTGTATCTGTTTTTTTATATATATAGCTTCTTTGGGTACTTATAATGTAAAACAATGAAAAAAATTTCTCGAACTCAAATTTTGTGAACCAGGGGGGTGTGTCTTTTCCAACAAATTAAAAATGGCTCGCGCACAAAATTTGAAAGCTGTAATCATATTTTGAGTTAACAGATTGAAAATTTGTCGGGTGTTTAATTACTGTACAAAATTTCAGACAATTTGGTTTAGTTTAAGCCCTTTAACTATTCATTTTGTTCTAAAAAGTCAGCCTTTCGCATGCTTAATTAATGCCTTTATCTAATTTGCATATTGCTGACATATGCAAATTAGGCAAATGCATTAATTAAGCATGCAAATAGCTGATTTTTCGGGAAAATTGTAACTTTGCGTGAATAGTTAAGGGGCTTAAACTAAACCAAATTGTCTGAAATTTTGTACAGTAATTAAAAACCCGACAAATTTTCCATCTGTTAACTCAAAATATGATTGCAGCTTTTAAATTTTGTGCGCGAGCCATTTTTAGTTTGTTGGAAAAGACACACCCCCCTGGTTCACAAAATTTGAGTTTGAGAAATTTTTCTCATTATTCTACATTATAAGCACCCAAAGAGGCTATATATATAAAAAACCGGATACAAATAGCTGTTTTGCGAAATTGAGAGCAATTTTAAATTTGTCCAGTTTTTTTTTATACACCCTGTATAGCGCCAAGAAAATACCTTGACAAGTGACTGCATAAAATCTTTTTCTTTCTTGAAATGTTCCATTCTTTCTTCAGATTTTGTCTTCAAATTTTCCACCAAGGACGTTAAGTTATCTGCCATCAACTCAAGACTATCATTGCTCATGCGCAATGAGCGCTGGTAGTGACGTACTTCTTTCAATGTTTGACGACATTTCTTTAGGGTTGCCTGTGGAAATATATCAGGCAAATTTAGATTCAGTTGCTGTGCCAAGTTTGGACCAAGTTGTTAACACCTTGTTACAAGGTTGATGAAGGTAAAATTAGGACTTCATTCGCAAAAATCTCGCATCTTGTAGCAAGTCTACCAACAAGCCGTCAACAAGTTGTGTTCGCACTGCTTGTCTCAAGTTGTCAACAAGTTTGAACGACTTGTTAACAGTTGTAACAAGCTTGACGGCATTATCATAACAAGCTTGACGGCATTATCAAACTTGTGGCAAGGTTGTTCCAACAAGTCCGATACAGTCATGATATAAAAATATCGTCACAACCGTGTATCGTTAACCTTGCAACATTCTTGTTACATCATAACTGTATCAGACTTATTAGAACCTTGTAGCAAGTGTGAATAGTGGAATCAAGCTTGTTACAAGTTGTTAACAATTTGTTCCAAACTTGTTACAATAACTGGGAACAAGCAGTGCGAACACAACTTGTGAATAGACTTGTAACAACTTGTTTGCAGACCTGTAACAACTTGTGCGTTTTTAGTTTATACGTGTGTAGCTGTAAGTTGTTCCAACAAGACTAAACAGGCTGTTCGTAACAAGTTACTACGAGTACGTGTAAACGATATCAGATTTGTTGAAACAACTTCCTGCAAGTCTGTTGGCCTCATCAACCTTGTCACAAGATGATAACAACTTGTTCCAGACTTGTCAACAACTGCGAACAAGCAGCGCGAATACATCTTGTTGACAAGCTAGCTGTAAGATTCTTGCGTTTAAAACTCCATCTAATGAATAAACAACTTACCTTCACGGGCTTATAGAATTCGTTTTCGAAGTTAATCTTTTGTCTGACAGCGTCAGCAAGTGTCTTGCTCTGGGCAGGAAGCGACGTCAGATATGGTAGACCTTCTTCCACTATCCATGTACAACACTGTAAGAAATATTAGACTTTTGAAATATCAACACGCGATTATTTTCGGGCCGACACATTCAATTAAGAAATCTGCTGTGTTGGTGTAATGTACTCAGGTGAATAAGATGTTTGTGTGATGTTACTCTGAGTGTATATCCACACCGGGCAGGCTTGAAAAATATGCCTGGCCACGGCGGGATTCGAACCTACGACCTTTGGAATACTAGCCCAATGCTCTTCCAACTGAGCTACCGTCCTGACCGCGTAACTCAGTTGGAAGAGCATTGGGCTAACATTCAATTAAGGTTTCGTAAGGCCCGTTTGCACTTGCAATTTGTGCTGCGATTTCTACTGCGGTTTTCGTATTCTGATGGATGTGAACGAGTGGATGAATTATGAATGTTCAGATGAAGGTGGATAAACTCCGAACATTCATAACTCATCTACTCGTTCACATGCATCAGAAGAAGAAAAGCGCAGTAGAAATCGCAGCTAAGATTGTAAGTGTAAACTGGCCGTTACTATGGCAATGCCATGCTACTAAACGTGCACGTACGGTATTGTATAAAAGGTTTGAATAATTTAAATAATGAAATATTTGCAAGCATGATCAGTTGCTAAGGCAAGCTTCGTCACTGGTGTTTTTATTTAAACCGCGGTTGCATTTACACCGGCAACGACAACAACAGCAACAACAACAGCAACAGCAACAACAACAGCAACAGCAACAACAACAGCAACGTGATAAATTATCGTGTACCCCAACTTCACTATGACAATTTCAATTCGGTCAGAGTATTATTTACTGTATAATGGATGTTTATACATAAGGCCAGGACAAAAAATTCGGAGCGGGATGAATGTAAACACAAATACATTTCAGACCGGTCTCGGCTGTGCTCTTGGCTTGCTTCGGAACAATACATGCTCACAAAAGCACTGTAAGAAAAGAAAATGGCGGACAAGGGGAATAAATTGACACACTTGTGATTTTCGTACAGGTCTCATGTAAACGGGGCCTAAGAAAACGTATGACTTTTGTCCTGTTTCACAGCCATTGAACCTGAATAGATTATTACAAACTTACTCAACGTTTCCTATCACATATCTCACATACTATCATAAACAAAAACAACAACAACAACAACGACGACGACAGCAACAGCAACAACAACAACAACAACAACAACAACAACAACAGCAGCAGCAGCAGCAGCAGCAGCAGCAGCAACAACAACAACAACAACAACAACAACAACAACA